AAAAAACATGAAGAAAAATATGATTCATAGTTCAGTGCCCACAGGGAGACAGACAGGAGGATTAGAGGGACCTGTTTTTTCTGGTTGTTGTATGGAATTAAAAGCTTTTTTTTTCTTGTAATGACAAAATACACCAACAACAAACCTTTTGACACTGCAATATTTTACAGAAACTATACACCAAGGCACTGTTCACATAACGACCTTTGGGCAATAAGCTTTTCTGTGGAATTCACAAATGAGGGAAAGTCAAATTTGTCTTATGTTGTGTGACTTAAAATTGTCAACTGATATCAATCGCAGGAAAAGTTAAATAACATCACAGACATGCAAACTCCACATAAAACAAAGTCAACGCAGAGGATAAAAGTCAAGAAGTCAGCAAGCATGGATCGGCCCAACTTGGTTTCAAGGGATCTGAATAAAATTAATTATACTACTTTCCTCTTCTCTGCTATAAATCCCTTTGATTGGTTCCAGCAACCCCAGAGCTGGATCTCTGATTAGAGAGGACAGCTTTATAAGCATCACACTGGTGACCGGCTCCATAAATATACCTGCTGTGTGGACCACAGGCAGAGAGAGGTAGAGGAAGACATCTCTAACGATGGATTATGTTTCTCTTTTTCACTTGTGTCTCGCTTTTCGCTTTTCTTTCTGCTGCATTCACAACCTTCTTGACTGGAAATACACAATCAGATCCATGGGGCTCCTCTAGCTCTACAAATTAAAATCCAACACTTGCACACAAGCGACACAATTTCCTTCTCCGTTGGGAATGGAGGCACACAAGAGTGGAAAACATTGGCCATCTGTAGGCCTCTTGAGCAGATTCTGTTTACCAGCTCGTCAGAGTCTGACACATACATCCTGTACAGCGCTGATGCCAACATTACATTACTTAGTATCCTTCAGTGATGCATCCCCTTTGTCTGGCGAAGATGGGACTGTCTGGTTTTTGTTAACCGGGAAAGAAAAACGACGAGGTAGACAAAACAGACGACGCTTCAGGAGCTGTCCGGTGCTGAAACCAGATAAAGAGCCCACAGGGAGCTTTTCTTTTACTGAGGATTAACTCACACAGGAAAACACTTGCATAATAGTAAAATAAACAGCTATCCAGTATTTGCTGCCCCTTCCGGGCTGTTTCAGCAAGTGAATAATACAGACACAAGCTCATTCGCATGTACTGACACTCTACCTGACTTCAACAAAGGAGGCATTGCACTCAACTGGTGCTGAGACAAAGAAAAGGCCAGGAGAGGAGAGGTAGCCTTGGGGAAATTCACCCTCCGACACCCCCTCCTACAATCACTGGAAGACACTTGACTGTGCCCCTGTCATTAATTCAGCTGACAAAAACTGTTACCAGATGTCATTAATTATTTATAGTATTTAATAGGGAAAATGCTTTCTTTGAATAATACATTTGGTGGGAGAGGGGTGCAGCACTGGGTTTGAGGAAGAAGGGGACTTGTGAAGAGAAGGGGGACGGGGTCTTTGATGAATATTCATGACCTGCATCTGGAGGGATTGTGCGTAAACTACCTTTTTTTCTGGCTCTGTACCTCCTAGGCTTTGTTTGCTCTGCCACTGACCACATTGGCCCAACCGTGCTGCTCATTTGCTTGGCTCTCGGTGCGGTGGCAAGCTCAATAGCAGCCAATGCCAAACTATTATATTATTAGCTGAGGCAAAGCTAACAACGGCCCACTTAGGCTCGACTCCATCTGCTCTGTGGTGGCAAGTTGGGGGAGCGAAAGGATGCAGGGCTGTCAATCAAGTGGATTGACGTTTGCCAGCGAGCAGAGGTACAGCCTTCATTAAGCCGATGAAACGACCCCGCCACGGAGGGAATGGAGGTGCCAAATGGATCACAGCCTAAATTATGATTTATGGTCATGGGCGAGCATAGGTGCTCCACTGCCACACACAAACTGACGTTAATCTGACAAGAGAAGCCACACTCTCCTCCATCATTTAAACAAACAGAATTGAATATGTGTATAGGCTGCTGTGAGGCTTTGCACTGCTTAATTGGATCAGGGTTTCTAAGTCTGTAAATTAGTCTCTCTCTGCAGGAGTCCGCCAGTATCCCTCCCACCCCTTCTAACACCACTGCCAAACACCATAGATCCATATGACATATGCAGACGGCCAATAGCTTTAAACCTTCAGCAATAACATGGAAACATTGTATTGAATATGTTTTTTTTAACTGTAAAATTACCAGTCATTAGCCCCGGCAGGATCACAACTAACTCACAAAACCAACTTTTCCTCCAACCATAGCTGGAGGCTTTCAACAGTCAAACTTAGACTCAGAGATGCTCTGTGCAGCTACTTTGCTCATCTGCCTCGTTTCATCCAGTGCCAAGGGCGGCTTTGTTTGTTTTAAGCATGGCAGAAGGGTTCATTGTAGGAATATTAATGTTCGACATTTGCAAAATCTCTGTAACAATTCAGTTACCCCATTCACTTACTTGGACACTACTCAAGTGCAAAATTGAATTCTCACCCATTCAAGTCCTCGGCTACAAGTGTCTGCGCTAAGCTGAGCGCAACCAGGCAGAAAAGACACAATATTGAAATATGTGACAAGACATCCTCCTCATGCAGAGAGCAGATAATGCTGTGAAAATTCTCCTAGTATGTTAGCACCTTCACACCATCTCTCGCTCGCCCCTCTCCTTTCTTTCATTTTCTCCAATACTCCTGAGGTGTGATGACAACATTTTTGAGCTGTGTTCTGCTCATGACCACAGTTGGAGTGGAGCCACTAAGACGCAATAGACCTTGCTCTAAAGGAATATTGTGCATCCACTGTAATGCCTCATCAGACAGAAAATTTGAAAAAAAGGGGGGCAGTGAACTGGCAATGCCAGAGAAGGAAACACTTCTACTGAGAACAATGGCGTTAACAGCAGAGCCAGTGATCCAATGCAAGAGTGATGGAGTCCAAACAGAGCGAGGCGACAAGAGGAGGACAGAGAGACAAAAGCAGACACCTGATACAATATGCAAGAGAGTGCAAGAGGCAGAAAGAAGGAGTGAAAGGCAGCAGAAGGACTGAAAGAGCAGTTTAATGTGGAGCCAGGTCCTATTAGTGCAGCTGGAGCTGACGATGCCAATAGTTCACTGACACAGTTCAGGAACAGGAGAACAAGCAGCCAACAGACACACAGGAGCAAACGTACATTTATCATGTACAAAATGGCCTGCACACGGAACATGAACACTTGATCATAGGTCAGGCAGAGAATGAATATGAAGCTGGGTGTCTCCTCTAAATCATCTGAGAAACAGTAGCTCCATCCATCCATCCATCCATCAGCCAGCCTGTCTGCAGGTATAACTGCAACCTAGGACATTAGAAGTCTGTTTGCCGGCATTAAGGCCAAACACAGAAGCACACATGTGACTGATGGGAATAGGGATGGACACAATATCAATGAAAAAGAGTGCAGGGTCAATGCTGCCAAGAACTGCTTGTGGACACTGTAGGTAAACTGTCTGAGTGACTGTGTGTGCTGTGCCTTTGTATGTGCAAACAAGAGAGACACACTGGAAATAAAGACGGAATAAGAGGCAAACAGAGCTAGAGCGGGAGAGGGAGAGACAAGTAACCATTTCACAAACTGCTTGGTTGAATCTCTGCTTAATTTCCCAAGGGGTCATGAGCAACTCTGCTCCCACTCCCGCTGCCATTCTCCACCTGACACACAGCCATACACCCGTACTATGAAGACAAAATAAGCCCAATTTAGTTTTACTTTCCATTTTCTTCCACTCTCAACAGCATCCTGCCCTGTAAGGTATATAGCAGCCATGTTGCAGTAAATTACTGTGGCACCCCACCACAGTGCACGGACCTGCTTCACTTTTAATCAGCTTGTAGACTTGAGGTGCTGCCATGTAACAGCAAAGTTCCCTCCACCAGAAACGACAGCGTGTGTGAGTGCCATCCAAAGATAATGTCTCGGGTCTCCCCACTGTGGTTTGCTGACAGCCTGGGACTCCTCCGCCTATTGGCTTTCAACAAAACCCAACAGCTCCCTCTCTCCCTATATCTGCCTCACCTGCAGGCTTACAGGGGCAAGAGCAGTCTCCAGAGGTGGACTGAACGGCGACACTGTTAACCTTTGTTGTGTTTTTATACTTAAATACCTCAAAATCTACAGAAAACATACACCGTAAAACATCTATATGGTTACATACTGCAATGTATAACATTTCAGAAACGGTGAATATAATCTACATACTCATACTTAATTCTTATTTTTTTATTTTATTGCCTTTCTTTCATATTTTTTTATTCTCTTGTCTACCTCATTCTGACGTGCCTGCTGCTGTAACAACATTATTTCCCCTGGTCTGTGGATCAATAAAGTTTTATCTTATCTTGAATGGTATTATGCATGATGCAAAATGTAATTTATAGTAACTTACTGTATTTTTTAAACTGCTATGACATGAAGGCATTAGTGACAGTGCTACTGTAAATAGCTTCTCATGGATAAAACAAAGGGGGGAATTATTCTGGGCTACATGTATTACAGCAGAGTTGGACAATGTAAAAAAAAAATCACCACATTATGTTAAACCTGGTCTAGATTTCTCAAAGAAAAATAACGTTATTTCCAGGTGGTGGCATGGATTTAGTGACAAGGATCAAAAAGAAGATATAAAGATTTCAAAAAAGTATTTTATAAATCTACAATGAATGTCTGACACATACAAATCTGCCACATCAGCATTAATCAGATCAGTCTAAATGCTTTTTAATTAATAAATAATGCTCTTACAATATGAGTCTCATCAAAGCCACATTTAACAATGCTGACATCCTCATCCCCAAATTATCACTGACTGTAGCCAACAAAATCTGTCAAACACCTTTTTCCACGTGTGTGTGGGTAAAAATAACAACTATTTGACTTTAAATGCTTCTTCCGCAGAGGAATGCCAAAAGAAACCACGTGCAAACAACTCGCCTTCACCTTTTGGACTGAGTGAGGTCCAGTTCACAGGAATGTGGAGCGATGCTGCAGCCTGAGCCAGGAGCGGTGCAGGTGGTATACAGCGCCGCAGACGGGGGAGCCGAAAACCATCCAACCACGCGTAAAAAGCAGCTCCGCGAGTGTGCGTGAAGAAAAACGCAGCGGAGAGGCGGCAGACCGACGTGTGAAGGACTGTGTCGTGTTTGGCTGCAGTGAGTCTTTCTCTGTCTCTCTGTCTCGGAGCCGAGGCAGCAGCCGCGATCAAGTGGAGGAGAGGCCGCCGGAGTGGTGCTCACCTCTCCAGCAGCTGAGCGCTACTGAACAAAAGAGCGCTCTGCAGGCTCTCTATTCAAATAGCAGCAGAGAGAGAGAGAGAGAGAGAGATGGAGGAGGAGGAGGGTATGTGCGTTCGCGTTTCATGAGTTGAGGGGGCTGCCTATGGTCGCGGGGGTGACGCAAATATACGATAAGTCCGTGCGTTTGGCACAATCTCAAACCAAAAGTATTAATTTGTATTTAAAACTACATTGAATGGATGCTCTGAATGTGAGTGACGTGTTCTTGTTTGTTCAGTGTGATAAATGAGCCATTAGTCATCCAGGGATGGAGACGTGGAGGGAGGGTTTGGTTATAGACAGACATGATTTGGCATCTCTGTCCCACTCCAGGCCCTATAATCCCATTCCTGCCTTTGTCAGAGCCCTGTAATTAATAACCTCAGGGATGGAATTACCTTGTTTGGCAGCCCTGCACTGACCTCAACCTGCAGATCTACATGCAACGGGGCTGGTTTAGGCTATCAAATTAGATTAGCACAAATTGCCTGAGATTTAGTCGACATGGCTTTAAGCAGCACAATGATTCAACATGTTTCACCTGACTGAGAGAATTTGACCACAACAGCAATAAGGCGTATTTGCCTCTTAGGTATTTCTTAGTCTTCATCGCGTGATGGCAGAACATAAAGATCATTGTTATGGTCCTTGTTAAAAGTGCAGTTGGAGTGTGACGCCTGCAGTCATTTAAAAGTGGTGTTGCTATAATGTTCACAGACAGTGTGAGGGACCCACCGCTTTGCTGCATAGAAAGAATAACGATCCCCCATGAGATGGTCATGCTGCATGCAAGGAGATTAAAGCTTTGTTCAGCAGAGTTGTACAGCTCGGGCAGCTTGCATTCATTTTTTTGTTGGTTTAACAAAAAAAATAAATGTATAGGCAGAAATAATTTTTTCTCCAAATACCAGCAGTATAGTTTTCTAACATGAGAGAGGATGTTGTAATGAAGAAAACTCTCAGAACAAAAGTTTGGAGCTTCTCAAGACTCGTGGAGCTATCCATGGTGCTGAAACACTGAAGCGATGGGCCATAAAAACACTGATAAAAGAAAAATGTTTACCAACTTCTAAAAAATGGAACAAAATAACAAATTAGTTTTTCCAAATTAAAGTCCACACTTGTGTTGATATAACTTGTTAATTTTAATTGAACAAACTTAATTCATTTTTTTATGTTACCAATTTATTTATTAATGTTGGTTCATTAATTGTTTTCAGCGCATGGAAGACTGAAGATTATAATCTACAATGAATAAATCAAGCCACAGTTGCAAGTTGCACAGTGAAGCCTCAGTCTGCATCTTTGCTTCACAAGTATTTTGTTTGTTTTTTTTCACCCACCACAATTAGGAAATAATACCATTTTCCATTACGCACACTTTGAAAATCATAATATATATGAGTAAACATGAGACAAACCCCTTTTTTAAAGATTCGTCTCTATTGTCTTTGATTTGTTTTCATCTGCGTTTGTTTGTTTATTAGTTAGCATGACTACACAAAAACGACTAAATGGTGCAAGAAAACTTAACTCATTCTCAAATAATATTAAAGGGATAGTTCACCCAAAAATGAAAAGTCACTCATTATATATCATCACGAGGCCGATGGAGGGGTGGCTGAAGTGTTTGATTCCACAAAACACTCTTGAAGTTTCACGGGTAATCAGAGTTTAATACAATACAAATCCAATACAACTGAAGTAAATAGTGACTGTCATAGTGGTGAGTGGATAATAAGAGAATTTTCATTTTTGGGTGAACTATCTCTTTAAGGTAGGCCCCTCCCAATAATCAATGTGAGCAGAGGTGGCAAAAGTACTCACATCCTTTATTTAAGTAAAAGTACAGGCTCAGAAATGTACTTAAGCACAAATGTATTCCATTTTTAACTTCAATGATGCACGATGCCTCTTTTGATAGCTTTGAGAATGTAGTAGAAAGTACAGATATTTGTGTTCAAATGTAGGGAGTAAAGTAAAAAGTTGTCAGGAAAATAAATAATTAAGTAAAGTACAGATAACTGAAAAATCGACTTAAGTATAGTAACAAAGTATTTGTACTTCATTACTTTACACCTCTGGCTGTGTGTGTGTTTAAATACATGTCTCATAAACTCATAAACACACAAAAGCCACAAACCCTGAGTCTCGTCGTCATCAGAAGGATCAACACAATGGCTACTTGCATCCGCTTCAAGACACGAGTACTTGGGCCCGGTCTTCATCCAGGACATGGTTAAACCTTACACCCCAGCCTGTCCACTCTGCTCTGCTGTGGCCAATTGGCCTCCCTTACTGCGAGAGACAGCTAGCCAGCTAAATGATGTGTGATGTAAGTAATGTAACACCTGTTGATGACGGTTGAAATGAGAATTAAGTTTACACAGTCCTTTCTTACTCTTCACTTCTTTCTTGTGCTTTTCTTCTTCTCCACTTTCCAGAATGACCGAAGAGCAATCAAACTACAAACAATTGACCAAACAAAGAAAAAGCTTATATTGATCCCTCGCCTTTATAGCTCTGGGTAAATGTGTTTATCTTTTGCAGCCACTACATTATACTTAGATTAAATACATATTTGATGTGGTAACTGGAGCTAAAAACAATGCGCTCCTTGGAAGCATCCTCTGGCTAGGGCTTATTACATTTTGTTAATATCTTAATTAGGCAAAGCATGAGAGAAATTAATCCCTGGAGAACTGGTTTATTAAAACACTGTCCAGCCACCCCTGAAACCCAGCGGAATAATTAGGCAGGGAAGAGAAATGTGTTTGTCCCTGAGAGGATTTTGGAATTAAGTTTACTCCTGCCTCATCTGAGACAGTGGCTGTTTGTACAAAGACTCAGCTGTGGAGGCATAACAATCGTCGAGCCCAAAGTGGTATTAAAGATACCTTATTTTACACTCCCTCTAATTTATTTGAAGTTTTGATATCGAATCAATGTAGTTTCATATCCCCTCTTTCACAAACACTGTTCTTACTGGAGCGTGCACATCCACAGAACCCATGACCATTTGGGACATCAGGAAGCAGGGTGACCAGGCGACTGCGACAGCAAGAGAGGAAGACTATGTACAAAATATAATGTGCCCAGGTAGCAGAGACAGAGACAAAGCTGTCAAGCAGCTTATACTTTTCACAGAGCTCTGACTTCAGGCAGTGGATTTCATCCCTTAACTGTGAGCAAGCAAGTTTACAGTCTACACGCACTGCCATCAATGAGTGTATGAGTGTAACTCATAAAACACACAATTAGAAACCCTAAACAGCAAGATAAAAGTAAACCAAAGATCAGTAGAAGAATAGCATTAAAAAGATTAAATACAAACAAAGTCCAAACAAAGCCAGAATGCTCAGGCCGCACCGTGTGCAGTGCGTGACGGCTGCATCACTGATCTGCTGCATCTCACACAGGGAGCTCGTCTGCTGCAAAGCAGCTATGTGAGGTTTCTGGTGTGACTGCTGTATTTCCTTGAATAAAAGTAGACTTATGTACTCAACTGAATTAAGGAATCTACAGTTTGAAGCCATGCATCTGCTGGACCTGCAAATGATTCACACTAGAAAACGGGAGACAGCAAAGAGCTTTTACTTTGAAACAGGTACATGAAGTGACCTAAATATTTATGTTTGTGACATTTAACAGATCGACATTGGTGAAAGATCATTTTCCCTGTCTTTTTATGAACTGCAAACGGGACGTGGGATACCAACTTCCTAGCAGAGCAGCGCGGCTCACACGAAGGAGACGTGCCTGAGACGTGTGAACTTGCAGGCAGTGTAGCAGCACCAAAATGAAGAGCATGACATTCTGCCACACAAATTGAAAATGTGACATACTCTAGCTTTAACAACACAAAGACTCATGCAGTCAGTCAAGAAGCCGTGGGCTGCAGTTATGTACAACAGTGGTTTGCTCTTAATGCTCACACTGACCAACATGCTGATATAAACAGGTCTAATGTTTTCCCCATAGGCCCATATACTGTTTGTTTTTTTAAAACATGCTAATGTTTGCAAAAGAATAACTGAATCTGATTACATTTACACCTGGTATCAATATGTGTCTCTATCTCCACATTGAGATCTGATTACATTTACACCTGGTATCAATATGTGTCTCTATCTCCACATTGAGATCTGATTCCTTTCTTCAGCTCACACCACATCTGCCTCTCATTTGCACAGGTCCACGAAAAGAACAAACAACTGATAGAAGAATAAAAGAGGACGGTAGCCATCCATGACAGTGTGTTATTGTGTTTACTTGCTTCTCAATTGGTTTCATCTTGAACAACGCGAGGACTGAGGGGGGGGACTCCTTTGTGTGTTTACCGACTAATGGCTGCTTGCTGCTGTTACCCTTACTGGTTTGGAACAGTGTTTGTTATTTACCTGGTTGTTGTGTGTGGACTGACAATCCAATTGTTCTCTTGGTGCACTTACACTTGTAGTTTCATGTGATCAAACATTATCAAATTGCAATCTCAACACCTAACATGCATTTTAAAGTGCAGTGAAAACTTATGAGTACTTCATTAGTTTCAAACGCGTATTTGTCCATTAGCCAAATCTTTAGACAAGTTTGAACGACTGACCACTTCTGGTTCCACTGCGGCTCACTGACCCAGAAACGACTGAGACGAGCACTAAAACACAATCAACAAACTGCACCAAGTCATTTACCATCACAGAGAATGACTGCCGGCAAACAGAGTTAGATTACCTGATGGTGAAAGTGAGGATTGATAGGTGTAAAAAAAAAAGAAAGGATAGAAAGAAGGAGGGGAGGCAGACGAAGAATTGGTGATGCTTGGGTTTGAGACAG